AGAATAGACGCCTAAAATTTCAAATAATTTGGATTTTAAAAAAAAAAAAATTTAAATACAAAATGAGATCGTGATCGTCAGATCGACTCAGATTCAATCTTGGCCATTAAGCTCATATGTAGATATGAGCTAGTGGGCTTTTATATATATATATATATATATATATATATTACGTTTGGCACAAAGTGGTCACAATTAATTTGATAGCTTACGTCTATCACAAAGCTCAAGAAAATTTCTTCTGAACATTGAGGTTGGTCAATGGAATAAATGCAACCACCCAATTTTACATGTAATTGTCCCATTGTATACAATATCATATTAAAAAATAGGGAATATAAACTCTTTATCATTATGTTAAACAATTAGAAAAATAAAATAAAACTTGAAAATGTAGAAGAAAGTGCTTTTTCTTTACCCACTTAATATAGGATGTCCTTTTGGTGAGATGCTTAGATCAAGTTCCTGTAATTATTTTTTTTTTTTTTCCAATTTTTCAAAATTTCTTTGTTAACATTAGATGAATAATTTTTAAAATGAACAAATTGATTTTGAGTTCTTAAATAGCTACTTCCCAAGATTCACCAAATAGACGATTAAGATTCATTGTTGGAAGGGGCTTATTTTGACCATATCTAAAGTACAAATTGAATTTTATTTTTTTGGAGTTAATTATTGGGATGAAGAGAGTGCCTTTGCAAAATTTGGAGCTATACGAGTGCCATCAATATGATTTTTTAAAAGTGTAGTTTCATTATATTACAATGATAAGTAACATGAATTCATACCCCAATATATATATGTAGTGAAAGTTTATATAAGGTGGCAACCTTATGCTGTTGATTAAGGGGCACCTTAAAAATCCTATAGAAGAGTGTATGGGTGTTGAAGAACCCTTCAATTTATCATCTAGACCTCGAAATGCATCGGTATTGTAAAAATACATATCTTGTAACAAATTATCTAGACCATTATTATAATAAATAGGGACATAAGATTTTTGCTTCGGAATGATATCATCTAAGCAAATTCTTGAGATATGCATTACTTCTACAGTACAAGCAAGCAGCTCTATACAACCTCACCCTAGCTGTATGTGTATTCCAAACCTGACTTGGTCGGGCTTGGGTTTGGATCTAGTCAAATAAGAGGCCACCTGAACTAGTATAGGAAAATTTGGCCGGGTCAAATCGGACCAGACCGGGTTACTCGAACCCGGCCCA